CAGCATTAACGGCATCAAGATAACAATTATGTGCGGAGTTAACTCGCCGTTTATTACTCGCACATGATTGTACCGGCTCTCGCGAGATGCGTAACTATGGCGCAGATACATTAGGCGGCAGAACTGTCAATGTGTATACACATCATTGTTCCCACTGGCATCAATCCATAGAAAAAAAAATGGATTTCAGTAATTATGCAAAATATCATTATGCCATGCAACCAATTAACCTCATTTTACCCTATTCATCAGCTATTTATAATATATAGCATATTTGTCCCCCATAAAATTATACTAAACAACATCATAAACTAAAGACAAACTATAATCAGTTTATTAGATCCAAACCTAAAGAGAGTTAAACTAAACAAGAGCCGCAGAGCGTCTGGGCTCATCTGAGGTCTGTTGCTCGCGATTACTAACTAAAAATTTCAGTCGTTGCGTATACCACATTTTGTTTAGGCGGGCAAGATATGCACACACAGCAGTTGCGTACACCATGAACCCGTGGTTAGGACCACGCCCCACTATGCGCCGATGGAGGGTAGGGGAGGGTGGGGGAGGGGTGGGGGAGAGTGGGGAAAGGGGCGGGGGGGCGAGGACGGTGGGATGAGGGGAAGTGGGGGGGGGGGGAGGATGGGGAGGGGCTCTAATAGCAAAAGCATTCTACCTCCTTTGTTACAGTCAACACAATCCATGTTTAACCCTCCTCTTGGGTCAAAGGTTATCCGACAGCCTTACTCTTCGCATGTCAGCACAGAAGGGAGCATTCATGGTCCTTTCAATATAAGTCGCATAAAAATGCTAGGTCACCAGCGAAAACAAAAAAGTTTTTCAATCGCTCCCGTCAGACCATGTCCTCGAGGAAAATGTCTAAAATCTGTCCCTGTGCCCATTGACTTTGACCTGTGACCTCCAATTCGGCACCAGTGAGCTTTTCCTCCGATGATAGCTATACACCACTTATCACTGAGCCTACGGCACGAGCCGTTTAAGATTTGTGCCGGCAATTCTGCATTTCTCCTATACTTTAGTTAGAGGTACGTGAATGTCCCCTTCCTTACACCTCGTCCTTGACGCTTTGGCGCCCCAGCTTTCCGACATCCCCAACCTCGTTTGGACGATCCCCCAGTGTGCCCGAATATCGTGACCGTCAGCGTTCGAGCGGTTTTAAGATTTGTGCCCAACGTGTTGAGGACGCACGAGGACGATCGACGGACGCATGCAAGAGCGGATTCTACAAGAGCTGGCATCTGACTATGTCAATGAGCTAAAAACAAACGGTTACAAAATATACATTGGCCCGCCTAGGACCCCAAATTTATTAAATATTCATTTTGGCCGAGCTCATTATATATGCATAACAGTTTTTGCACCCACAAGTTTATAACGACTGAGTGAAACGCCGCGCTAGCCATCTCGCGACTTAGTGACTGTGATGTATGTGTTCGACAGTATACAGGCACAAAAAAAATAAAAAGTATTACGTTTTCATGCTGTAAATAAGTGTTATATTGGAGAGTTAGCTGTTGCACATGTTTGTTTCTTGTATGGTGAACTGTCACATACAAAACACAGAAGTGTAACAATCATGCATACCGACGTGACACACTTACCATTTGTTTGGCAAGCACATCACAGTGAAATAGCAGACAACACGGCAACGCGACGCACGCACGCACGCACGCGCGCAGCACACACCCCGCGCGCAGCGCAGAAAAAAAGAAAAATGTTTTGTTTTATCCGTATGCTATGTACGAATGTACTGGTTGATGATACGACCTCTCAAAGTTAGAATATAAGATAGCTCTGAAATGGCTGGTAAGGTCGGTGCGACTCATCTTAAGCCGCACTCTGCTGCGTAGCACGTAATATTACGGCTTCGCAATGTCTTCCACTGTGTGCTGGGACGACAGGTATATTGCGTGGATTGTGATCCGCTTATTTGCTACCATGGCATATTTGCACCTGTGCGTTACAACCGGAAATAATTACGTGCTTGTGATCGACCGCTTGTGACGCTCGCGTTCAAGACACGCGCCGTACACTGGTAGCAGCATTGCAGAACTTCCAAAAAAAAATTCTGCCCTCTGATGAAATTCAATTGTACATCTCAATGGAAACTGATGGCCGAATAGCTACAGTGCTTGAATTTTCACTTGATTATTATGGCTCGGTTCTACTTACATTATTTGAACTTACAAAAATCTCAGACAGTGACACACGACTACAGACAAACATACACACGTAACACAGAACAAAACGAAACATAAACAGCGCACCCTATTTCAACGGCAAATCTTTACCGTTTTTAGGTTTTTTTGTCTTTTTTAAGACGAACAAACGGTTTTCAACACCCGAGTATAGTTTAGAACCGCCGTCGCCGTGTACCATCGATCTCTTCTGTGAATTTGGCGCTATTTTGAATCCAAACTTGCGGACGCCTTCATTAACATACATACATACATACAACATTCGCCAAATTATAGGTAAGATATACTATGATAACTGTTTAGTTTAAGTCCTAGATATATATCTTGAGCATAAACAGTGCAAATTTCAAGGGATTTGAACTAAAGATAAGAAAATGACAGCAGAATTTGCCAGAAAAGGTGCAGCAGAAAGGTCGAAATTTGACATTTGATAAAAACAACGATTTGACCGGTACAGCAAAACCATACGCAGATTCTAGGACATCGGTGTTCACCCGACAAGATATTGGCGACTGACATTCTGGACAACGGCCATATTTTGTCATTAATTCATTAAATATAGTCATGTCATACAAACAGAAGCTATTAACAAAATTACTGGGAATGTTTTTTGTAGAGTTAAGTTCAATGGAATAATTTAATTTACGTTTTGATGCATGTTAATTTTCACTTCCGGGTTCACAAATATTAGTGAATTTGTTGCCATAAAATCGTCTCTTCTTGGTTTTAACATTGTTGTACTTCGGCATATTTGACGCTAAATATGTCTTTAATATGTACTTATATATTTTAAACTGATAATAGTCACTAATATGCGGATATAACGTAGATGACGACGGATATAACGTAGATGACGACGGATATTTACAAGAGACTAAAAATTTACATGATCAGACGAGGATACCATTTTTACAATGCATCCTGGGATAACACCGATTGACTGCTATGCTGCTAATTTTGCCTGTAAGATGGCAGCACATCCTAGTGATGAGTTGAGAAGCAAAAAATTCATATTTTCTTATTGCAACAAATTGATTTAGGTGATTAAATTCACTTCCAAGATGCTACTTCCGGTTTAAAATTTAAAATCACATTACAAATGTAAAATGTTTTTAGACCTGTTTAGAGTATAGTTATAAGCAATTAATGTTGAAAAATGGAAAGGAAACATACTAAAATAATTAGTAGAGTTAAAATTTTGTTAAAGTCATATTTTGAAAAATTGGTAGTTTCAACCCCCACTAGCTACCTTAAACATGAACAACAAACTAGGGCCAGCAGATAAGAACTATAAAACTTCTTCCAATACAAATTAAGTTCTAAATAATAAACTGATGAACGAAGTTTTGGAACCCACCATGTTTATAACCTACAGACTTGCTGGATGGCCTAAAAGTAATCGCCACCTTTACCAGGAACATATATATACTATTTGGTATAGTAATATGTATAGCACACATACAGTATAGATATAATATATATGTATATATATATATTATGAGGACAATATATTACGTGATAGTAATTGTACTTGTACACTTACTGTGATCACTAAAGCATTGCGCTGAATGTTGCGTGCTTGCTGATTCAATCCCTTTGCCTCATTATCATATCGATCTCTCTCCATCGCTGACAAAAGCTACAAAAGTATAAACAAGTCGTGTTACTACAGACATTATGTGTTCTGCCGAAACAGCAAAGCCAAAGCATGCCAATGACACTACTGTGGACGCAATTTACATTTGATCGAATAATTTCACCAAGTCTTGTATACGCCTCTGACGAATTTATTATTATCGTGTACAAACGATGACACTGGAGAGGGTTCACTGGAAAATACAAAATTGAACCCACACATAAGTAAATGCAAAATAAAATACAACACTATCCATGACGATCAACTGGCATGTCAAATCACTCGGAGGCATGAATAGGCCTAACGAAAGTTCACCAGACACAAAGGATTTAAACAATGTTTGAATGTATGTGAGACACAGTGAAATATCTCAACTTGTCAAGATTAAACGTTCACACAGAACTGAATAAGTCGCCACCATAATATGGTAGTTGTGACTGTGAGAAGATAAACAGAATGTCCAATAATCTACCCCAGCGCCACCTGGCGATAGAAATAGATATATACGAGAACCTAAAGTCGGTCACTTAACTGACGACACTCAATGTCGGACAACTGTCCGGCCGCGATTTTACTAGTAAGAGCAGCAGTAGGCCTAAAATTCCCTAATGCACAATATGCTTATTACAATACGCTCACTTTAAAGCAGACAATGCCATTGAACCAATAAAATTCACGAAGTGCACAACGCAGGCACCCAAGCCATACACTACAGTGTATGCATACAGTAGAAATATGGCCGCAGCCACGAGATACAGCCGACAGGGCTGGTACAGGAAAGAAACCCTTGAAACTTTAAATCTAACTGGCAAACTAGTTTAAGGATACTACTTACAGAAACTTGGAGCGTTATGAAAACACTGTCACTAAATTGCTCCACGCAAATCTGATGTATTTGTCGATAAATTGACTACTAGTGGCGAGTCCAAATATGCCGCATCGCTCGACACGACATCCTTTGTCTCCCTCCGCCCCCTGGTGTTTGGCGGGAAATAATAAGCGCGCGCACGGACCCAAATATGGAACATGCAAAACCAGCGCCAGGCTAAACTAATCTGCCACAACAACTACTCAGAAACCCCAGGCCTGGGGGTATTATTAAATGCACTGCCATTTATAGCAGCTATCATTTCCTCAAGTTAAGGACTGTCACAATACACCGTATTAGTTATGTGACGTGTTTTATGAACTAACTATCTTGTTTGTTGTCAGTATTGTTAGTTTTTTACAGTAAATATTAACTTGAATAAATACCTTCCATTTTGGTGCGGCTAGAGTTGGCATTTCTTGCATAGGCACATTTCTTCCATCTCTGCGAAATTCCTCTTGCAGCTCTATCATTAATATCATGAACCCATTCTTTTTCTTTGCAGGCATAGCTGGGTAAAAATGTTAGTTGTTATTCATGCTGAATTGGTGATTGTTTTGACTGAAACCATGTCTGGGCCCATTCAATTGAATGACACAAAACATAAACAATTACCGCATTCACACGGTAATGGTTTGGCTCGAGCTAAATGGGCTAAATTTGGCTCAGGCTAAATTTGGCTCGGGCCGGTTTGAGTCGGAGCGTTCACACGTACGTAAGCAAGTGAATACTCATACTGTCTGTCAAATTCAAATTCAAATAAATTTTATTGCACAAATATCTCACAGATACTTTGGCAGTATGTCGCGAGATGGTGTTGTGTACGATTCAGTGTTTACTTTCGTTCCGAGTTCAATTATCAATCTTGAAAACATGCATCCTGATCAAAATTTTACTGTTTTGGACTTTATTTCGTCGAAGTACACGTTCAACACTCGCGGCATCTACCACTCTACTGATTTAGCTGGTGCTAAAATTTGGCTCGGACCTGGTCAGAAGTTTTTGATGGGACCAAATTGGCTCGTGGCTAACTCGGCACGTTCCCGAAAAACCGTCCGCGTGAACGCTCGGCTCGAGCCAAATTTGGCGCGGGCCTAATTAGGCCCGGGCTAAAAACGTCTGTGTGAACGCGCCTAATGAAGCTGGATGAGAATTTATGAATATGGTTTAATACTGTTATACAAAGCACTGAAGACAATTATCTGGTGCAAATGAAAATATAGTGAACACACCAGAAATGAGATTCACACAATTCTTATCTCTGAATTTATGATTGATACAAGTGAAATGGAGCCAGGGACTTTTTCTACTGAATGATGTCGAAAATAAATATTAAAATTTGAATATATGAATATATAGTTGAATTCTGTTCTATAGATAACTGAAGACAATTAGTAGCAGGGGCACATAAATTTACAACTTACCTGGGAAAAATTATAGGACGCTTAAATCTTGAGTGTTGACTTTAACAAATAAGCCCAGGCTTTGATGTCAGATCAATGGCACTGGTAGTGGCAACTGCAGTTGCGTGAATGTTTACATCATAAACCTATATATAATAATAATTAAGTTACATGTAACACACTGACAGTACAGAATGCCATAGAAATTATACGATTTAAGGAGCATAAACCTTCTTCAAGCAAATTTAGCTTTTGAAATTTCACTGTGACATTGTAGCCTCATACATCCAGGCATGTATAGATTCTACTAGCAAACTCAGCAGTCAAAACAGTCTGTCTTTCTAACACAGTAACAGTTAACAAATCCATAGTGCCGCAGAGCGACAGCGCTCATCTAACGTCTAC